TTGCAAAAAAGGAATAAATGTAGAGTCATTACAGTACAGAAAACAGCCTTTTGGACCATCCAATCCATACAACGTAATCTTTGCTCTCCCCTACCATAGTCGTACAAGTGGAAAACGAGCTAAAAAGGCAGAAGTCTAAGGTTTGAGTTTTGTTCTGTTCCAAGTTAGCAGACAGAGCTTTCCTTTGGCTCAATGCCCTTGGGCAACTAAGAAAATCAACCAGTCTCTGATACTTGACAGCCAGCTATTTACCTTACTGAAAGTCTGTGCAATGGTTGAGAATCAGATCAAGCTCAACTAAGAAGCACCTGTGGTAGAATATCATGCAAATACTTACTATCACTTCATTGAGATAACCGAGAGGCAGCCAGTGCCTCCAGAAGCCAACAACTACAGAACATAAAAAACTTCATTATTTTCATGAAGGAACATATTACAGAGTGGCTTCAAAGCTGTAAAAAAAATCTTAGAGTTTGTAACAGTTATAATCTTGTGTTTTATATCTTACTGAAATCATTTGTTGCTTTAGTGTTCGTATCGTTATGCATGTTAAATATCAATTATTCTTCATTTACCATTGTGACTTATTACACTGAAAATGTAATTCCTTAGCAGGACACAGCCTACATAGTTAGTGGTCACCTACAAAAGCACAGGGGTTTTTCTAAACACGAAGTACACCAAATATAAATTTTAAATAGTTCAATAGAATCATAGGCCTACAATACAGAGAGGCGCCATTCGGCCCATTGCCAAATGCTTTTCAGCAGAGACAATTTCCTTTCGATTGATATTCTTTTAGCATGGACATCACCAGGAAAATAAATAGCAAGGAGTTAATCAGCAACCAAAATCCACCATAACCAACAAGCACAGTAGTTGTAAAAAGGGAATAAAGGCACTGTCATTACAGCACAGATCCACTCTCCACTCCATCCCCATAACCGTGCATGGTGTTTTTAGCACGGTAAACCCAACCAACCTGCACATCTTTGGACTGGGGGAGGAAACCTAGGGACCCACATAGGGAGAATGTGCAACCTCCATAAAGATAGTTGCCCAAGGCTGGAATCGCACCCGGGTTGCTGGTGCTATGAGGCAGCAGTGCTAACCAGTGTGCCATTGTGTCACACTTTCATTTCTTGGTGAAACTGAAGCTAATGCAATCAATCACATCCCTAAAGTATTGATAATGTTTACATAAAACAAGACAGAATGAGACGAACAACTGGCTAAGAAACAAAACAGAATTCAACCAAAGGTTAGCATGTCTGCTAGCATTTCTGGAGTGAGAGATACATTTCAGGTTTATAACACTTTGTCTGAACTTTTTATTCTCTATATTTGCTGCCAGACATGTTGCCTACTTCCAGAATTTTCTGTTTATATTTTAGATTTACAACATTCAAAGTATTTTACTTCTGTACCCCATAATTAGTTTCCCTCAACTGAGTAATATTGCTCTGCATTTTAATCTCAATTGTCAATAATTATTATTCAATTGTTGTGGAGATGCCGGTGTTGGACTGGGGTGAACAAGGTCAAAAATCACACAATACCAGGTTACAGTTCAACAGGTTTATTTGAAAACACAAGTGTAGTGAGTTGCAGATACATTCTGGTTTGCTCAAAAAACAAACCTGACTCCCAGTTTAAAACATAGACATAATTTAAGCAAGACCTCACACCTAAAATGCATTGTCTGACCCGAGATGTCACCTCTTGTATACATTGATAAAGCCTTTAATTATCTTGAGACAATGACTTGAGAGGAATCTGGATTTTGCAACTTAATCAGTAGTCTCCTTCCTAACTGATTAAAGATCCAGCAAGAGGCGGCCAGTTTTAGTGTTGTCAACTTTCTGCTTAAGAATTCTGTGTCTTATACCATCTCTCTCACATGCTGCCCGAGGAGGGAGTTGAGCTGCGAAACATTGCGTTTTCAAATAAACCTTTTGGACTATAACCTGGTGTTGCATGATATTTGACCTTACTCAATTGTAGCAATTTCTCTACCTTTAGTTCTCACCACATTTTTCCTCAATTATTTCCACCTCACTTCATTTTTTTTCTTCTGTACTCAAAATAAGAACTCATACCATGAAAATATCCTTCAAACATTACCAACCTACAGACACCTCAACTGTCTGACCATTGTTCATCCCAACAACGAGTGTCAGGAACTGATTTGGTTACAAGGTCAGAATAGCAGATTTTTTTCATCCTCATTCACAATCTCATCTTTTCTGGAAGGGCACACCAATTATCAGTTAGGGTTGGTACTCCTGATGATTAATACCCTGGCGTCAGGGTACTAAAGGCACTTGAAATACTTCAACAATGCCCTGCCTGTGCCTCTCACATTTCGATCACTTAATCAACATTCTCCCCTGGCACTCCAACCACCTCCATCCCCACCCCACTATTGCAGAAATGCTGTCCCCTCCACACTTCACTTCAGCTCTGATGAGGAGTCACCTGGACTTGAAATGTTAGCTTGCTTTCCCTCCATGGATGCTGCCTGACCTAATGTGATCTCCAACATTTTTTGCTTTCAGTTTTAACTCAGCACAGGCATGGTATCAGGTCTACATCCTATTACACTTAGTAAGTCATTAACAAATATGGTGACTTTAAATTTCTACAAGGTTCTCCCAATACAGTACACTTCTGTAACAAATCTAACAACGGTGAAAAATCTAAGTGACTGACTGGCAGAACCCACAAAGGCAGAAAGATCAGAAGCATACCAAATATTTACTCATTGAGGTGTGGGGGAGCCCAAACTGGACGTAATCCCTACTTAAATTGAAGAACACATCCACTACAGTGCATCAATATGGGTGCTGCTCTCTGACTTTGGTGCATATGCACCAAATTCATTTTTTGCCAAAATTCTGATCCAGGAATTCAAGTCCTACCAAACTTCACTCCCAATAATCCATTCATTCCATCAGTGAGACTTGAGCAGCTCTTTCGCGAATGACGTGTGCATACTAAACTTTTTAATAACCACACGTAACCTTAAAGTTATAAATAACAGCGTGTAAATTATAAAGATCTAACTGAAATAATTACACACAACCAATACCAGTTGAAATTTGGTGGATACGTAATTCTCGGTGGTGATTACGACTAGTTAAATAAATTTGGTGACAATTTTTTTATTAGATTTTGCATAAACAAAGGGGAAGTGCATGCAGGTCGTTAAAATTCTGCGTGTGTATTTTTCGTCTGCGGTGTAATGGTGGTGTTGACCTTTATAACACAGTCAGCTACCAGAGCAGTAAAAGGAATCTTTGGGCAGATACCATGCATAAGGCACGTTCATAACGCACGCCTCATGCCGCACCTTTATTCACATTTACACCAATTGAAATAATAGTTTGTATAACAAGTAACAGAAACAAGATTATATACTGCAAACTAAAACACGTTTGCCGTTATTATGGATTGCTAAGCACTGGATTCCCTAGCGGACACAGTGTACAATGTTTCAGCAGATAGTTTTTTTTTACAAGAAGTCCCGAAACATTACATCCAGGATTCAAATCAAAAATCGTTTGCTGGATTACATTTAGGGGAGTGACAGGAGAGGAAACAAAAAGAAATGCTTCGAATTGGTCGGATTTCACATTCTGCAAAAGACTCGATGCAAGGATTAAATGTAAAATAAAAACAAAGATGTCGGTGCAGACACACGGCGGTAAACCCTGAACTTCTGGTGACCGGGCGCGGCTTTGACACGGCAGCTCGTTGGACGTGACCCCGACCAAAGAGGGAGGGGTAAGGTTGTGGAAGAGGAGATCCTGGGGCAGTCAAGAACATCTCCTTTCCCCGGGTGAAAGAGATCCCGGGACGGGGGAGATCCTGAGGGTAACCCAGGCACCCTCTGGGAGAAGGGCAGTCCTGGGGATGCCAGATTTCCCCTCGGGGGAGGGCGTAGGAGGAGAGAGAAGAGATGGGTGGGGGTAGAGAGAGGAAGAAAAGATCCTGGCTGCTTGGGGGACAGGAGGAAAGAGATCTTGGGGGATCAGGGGAAGGGGAAAAAGACAACTTAGGGGTTGGAGAAGAGATCCTGAGGATCGGGGTGGGGGGGAAGCAGGAGACTGGGAAGACATCCTGAGGGGTGGAAAAAAAGATGAGGAGGATCGAGGGGGGAGGGTGACAGAGAAAGAGATCCTGGGGGTCGGGGTCAGAGAACAGATCCTGGGAGTCGGTGGGAAGAGGAGAGATGGAGGAAAAGAGGAGAGATCCCAGGGTAGCCCAGAGCCGCGCGGACAATCCTTTCCCCAAAGGGCAGAGGCAGACCGTCCCCGTCAACCCGGGCTTTCATTCAAAAGTTAGCACGTTTCAATAAGACAGAAAAAACTGATGTTTTTTTGTTGCTGAGAGCGACGCGGGGTGAAGGAGGAGGAGACAGGAAGCTGCTCCCCGCCCCGGCCCTGGCCCCGGCCTTCTCTGTCTGACCCCACAGTGCGACTAGGGCCCGGTCCAGGGCCACGGTGTCTGCTCTGGTTTGGTCCCAAGCAGCCTGTCTCCAGCCCCGGCCATTCCTGGCTCACCCTCTGCCAACTCCTTCAACCCTTCGGGGCCGGAGTGGAGGGAACGCGCACGAACAGAAAAAAAGCCAGACACATCAATCTGAAAAAAACACTTAAAACGTAAACAGCCGACCCAATACCTCCCCACCCAACTATCTTCCAGAATTATTCAAATCATAAATTACAACTTATTTCTTTTAATCTACTGAGCACATTAATGAAAAGGTTAAACAGTTTAAATTCCTCTCATCATCACCAACATGGCCGCCCGTTCGGTTCTTATTTGAAATAAGAAGCCCCGAGTGTCTTTGTCAGCTTCACCTCTGTCACCCTCACCCTCACCCGAACCGAACCAAGCCCCAAGCAGAAGCAGAAGCAGGAGCCCGAGCCCGAGCCGCGGCGGCCACTCTCTCTCTCTCGCTCACGCTCACTCTCACTCTCAACCCCAGCACTTACGCGAATAAGGCAGGCGCTTCGGCTGCTCCTGCTTTCTCCTGGGCATTTTCCTTCCTCCCCAACTCCTCTTTTTTTTTTAAACCATTTTCTCTTCACATTCTCCTTTTTTTATGCTTTTATATGTGTTTTGCAGCTACAAATGCACATGCGCCAGCAACAGATAAATATATTTTTAAAAGTGTGTGTTTGAGACATGTAATGTGTGTACGGCACTCTGTGTAAGTGTCAGGCGCTGGAGGGGTACTGTGCTGCACACAGGATGCACCTGGCCGGCCAGTCGTGGCCCCGGTGAGTGAGTGTCTGTCGGTGTGTGTCTGTATGTGAGAGAGGGAGGGAGGTTGGCGGTGTGAGACTCTGCTGCTCCAACCCTAACACTAATCTCGAGATCAAAGGGCAAGTGCAGGGACGGCAAGTAAAGGTGCCGCTCGGCTCGCAGGGATACATTCGAGACGAGCACTACCTCCCCACCCCTCCAAATTGCAGACCGGTGCAAAATAAAAATACCCTGTTAATTGTTTGCGTATTGCAATAAATGTATTCTCTTTTACTTGACGGGATAAGGGCTTATATTATTTTTGTTACGTATTTATAGTCCGAAAAAATAGCTAAACTTTGTCGAGTTTCAACCATCTGCAACGAACCTTGCATATTCTGATTTCAAAAATTCTTTTGGAATAGGTGTATTTGCAACCTGTTTCACCGTTCTAAATGAAAGATTGTAACATTTTGTCTAGAGTTCTAAAGTACCATTGAGTTAAAAAAAAACTTCAAAATACATAAAGAACTCGTATTTTAAGACATTACAAAAGTTTGTCGTGTGAATTTACTGTATTAGAGATTCTAAGGGGTTTTCTTCGGCGACATCAAGTTTCAAGAAATATGATTCAAGTGTTTCCATTTAAATTGAAAAACAAGTTGATACATAAGCCTTACAATCACTTCATCACTCAGAACAATTTAACATTAAACTGTCTAATCCTGTTTTTCCTCTGCCAAATAACTTTGTTCACAATAATCTTTTAATAAGTACCATGTTATTTGTTTACATCTAACTGTTCGTTTCATATGGATATACTGGGCAAATAAATGATAAAGTTCCGCTGAGCCTAATCATACTATTTACTTACTAAATAAAATTGAACTGATTAAATGATTAAACTGTTTTCTTTTTCAGGTTTTCTTTCAAAGCATCCATAAATTCATCAGCATATGAGAAATGTCTAAAATACGTGCAATTTATATATCATTCACTAGAAACAATGAAAGTTTCTCATTCCACACGTACTGCCTTATGTGCTGAATGTTTTCTGTTTTGATCTTAGATTTGCAGTATGGATAATATTTTGCTTTTAAAATAGATAACATGATTTTTGAGTAAAAAGCAAAGACTTTTCCAGCATTGTTTCAGATTTGCAAAATCTGCAGTAGTTTGCTTTTATTTGAGTGTTTAGTTTGCTGCCACTTCTCTTCCAGGTATTCCCACCTTGAACAGGTTATGCTGTTCTCTCCAATGGGATATCCATTTTAATCTTTTGGCTTGTTCATCCTCATTACTTTCTATCTCCTTCCTAGTGTTTGATAAAGTGTTTGCCAAAATCTGTTTTCACCGCTACATCATCTTCCTCAATGACTGTCTCCAGCTCCACCTTACCCAGTTCTTGAGAGTTATATCGAACTTGAAACTTTGATTCTGTTTTTCTCCTCACAGATGGTGCCAGGCCTGCTGAGTATCCCCAGATTTTTGGGTGCTTGACTAGTTAACTGTTTTGATGGTGTCATTTGGGTGAGAGATCAGGAGTTATAGAAAAGCAAAGGAATTTGGGTGTACATAAATCATTTAGACTTAAGTATACAGATACAAAAAGTGATCAAACAGGAAAAATAACTTTGTCCATTGTTCCAAGGGATTTGAAATGCAAATATTCCCATGCCTCTCCATCTTCCCTCATTTCTCAGAAACTGATACGTTGCAAATTAGTCAATAGAGGTTCAGGACTTCTAAGGTTGTACTTGACATTTTACTATGTTAAATACTCAATATAATTGTGAGTTTTAGTCCTTGCATTGAAGTAACCCAAGGACTCACTTAACACTCTTTAAAAACTTATTACTGAGTAATTCAATGATGCGATGTAACAACTTGAGAAGATAACAAGGCAACCACTGCCAGAATAAATTACAGTCCATGTTTAATTTACAGTTGTTTAATCCAAATTACCTGCTTGTTCACAATTCCTTATATGTTATTTGTGTAGCTTAATCAAATATATTGGATGATTAGTTTTGTTTTGCAAACAAATGCAATTTTGAATTATTAGGAGCAGACTGTAGCCTGAACATAGGTTGCTAAAGACCATTGCCAACATGGCCCATCCTGATCAGAGTTATTAAGGCAAAAATTTAAGCATCCATTCTGTGTGTCCACAATTGCTACCTGACCTTCTTGGTACTACTAGCACTTTTTGTTTACATTAAAAAAAATCACAGTAGTAAGTTTTTGCTCCCTTTGAATGTTGATTCCCTCTGATTTATCAAGCCTTGCCTACCCAAGAACTGAACTTCAAGCTTGAGAATGGTAGAATGGCAGTTGTGTTATTGGACTAGTAATTCGGAGAACTAAATATGGCAATGTGAATTCATAGTTGTTGAGGATGTTAAATTTGGATAATTAAATAAATGGTGATGTTGTTAAGTAAATGTGCAGACACTTAGAAACAGGAGTAGGCTACTCAGCCCCTTCAGCCGATTTCACCATTCAGTGAGATCATGGCTGATCTGTGGCCTAATTCCCTTTGGCCATATCCCTTAATAGCTTTGCTTAACAAAAAAAAACTACTTCAGATTTAAAATTAACAACTGATCCTGCATCCACCACTATTTGTGGAGGACAGTTCCAAACATCTAACACTCTGTGTACAGAAGTGCTTCTTAATGTCTCTCCTGAAGAGTCTGGCCCTAATTTGCAGACAGAAATAGTTCCTTTCCTATTAATAACTTGAAGACTTCAATGAGGTCTTCTAAATCCTAGAGAAAACAGGTTTAATTTGTACAATCTCATAATTTAACCCCTGAAGTCAAAGTATCATTCTTGTAAACTAAAAAGGGGAGGCAATGCCCTAGTGGACTGTTAATCCAGACACTTCAGATAACATTGTTTCAGAGATAGTAGGAGCTGCAGATGCTGGCGTAGAGCTGGATGAACACAGCAGGCCAAGCAGCATCAGAGGAGCAGGAAAGCTGACGTTTCAGGCCTAGACCCTTCTTCAGAAATGGGGGAGGGGAAGGGGATTCTGAAATAAATAGGGAGAGAGGGGGAGGCGGATAGAAGATGGATAAAGGAGAAGATAGGTGGAGAGGAGACAGACAGGTCAAAGAGGCGGGGGTGGAGCCAGTAAAGGTGAGTCTAGGTGGGGAGTTAGGGAGGGGATAGGTCAGCCCAGGGAGGACGGACAGGTCAAGGGGGCGGGATGAGGCTAGTAGGTAGGAGATGGGGGTGGGG